CTTTTTATTGAATTCCATTTGAAAAAATTTCCGCTATTCGAATGTAAATTCAGTGGAGCTTATTTTATAACCGAATAAATAAATATTTCTGTAGCTGATTCTGTTTCTGTTGGGGGCTTCGTGTAATCATAAATAAAAAGCAAATTGTTTTGTGGCCATAAAAACACAGGCAGATCTCTCCCAGAGAAAAACTTGTTTATTTGCAGGACCCTCTGTGTGTGTGTTTGTATTTGTTTTGTGTTTAAAAGAAAATTTCTCTCATTGCCAGTTTGTTGTTTTTCGCCTCTTTGTGGTGCGTAATAGGGCAGCTGGTGCAGAGGATTTGCGGACGGAGCAGGTCCTGGAGCTTTATTAGAGCCAACTTGCTGCGGAACGTGCCAGGGCAATCCGACAGGATATATGTAATAAGGATACGTTCGCCATTAACACAACGTCTTTGGAGGGAAATCCTCCGGCAAATAAAAATAAACACATAACACATAAACACAGGACAAAGGACAAAGGAAGCCGATGAGGCTGGAAAAGACGGCATTTGCTTATGCCTGCCATAATTCATACAAAACAGTTCAAGCTAAATAGAACAACACACACGGATGCACAAAAAAAAATATTTTAATTTGTGTTCAACATATTTAAGTCATTTTTAATTTATAGAGTACCAAATACATTCTAAAGATTTGATCAAAACTAACTTCAAAACTTATAAAATGTTAACACCACACCTAAATATATTGATAAAAGATTTTCTTTTCGGTTTTAAAATAAAAATTCTTTTATTTTTTCTTATTAAGTTAAAATAAAAGTAATTTATTACTATTTATATATATTTCTATTTGAATAAGCTTATGCATCCTTTTAAGATTTTGCTTAAATATTTTTTTGTTTATAAAAAAGAAAAAAACAAATTTCATTGCTCAGCTTATTATTTTTTCTTTGTGCACCGAAAACGAGAAACACGCAGAGTTTGATAGAACAATTAAATTGAAATTGCTAGGCACAACACAGGCGCAGAAAACGACAATAAGACGAACGACAAGGAATCGTATCCAGAACTCGTTTATGCCACAATAATAATTTGAAGACATTTGTATAAATTTGCAATTGCATTTTATTGGCCCGTCCTGTGTGTCATAATATTTGCATATGTGTGTGCGTTCGGCATACATAATGTGCTTCCTTATGCCTGGTTGCGTATACGCAACGTGGCAAATGGTCGACTCAATGCAATCAGTTCGAGAAATTGACCAAATATTGTTGCCAAGACAAAGGCATTTCGCCTGATCAATTCATTCAATTATAAATAAGATACATATATCAGGTACGAAGGGTGTTTTACATATATGTATGATACCAACTAGATTCCATTATCATTTAAGCCTGATATTCTCTGCTTTTGCCCATTTGGCAGCCACAAATTATCATCAGCTGCCAGAGCTTTAAAGAAAACTGTTGACAATGCAGAGACAGCAGCGGCACAACAACCATTTCACTGACACACTTTACCCCATTTCTTCGCTGGCGGAAAAACAAGAGAAAATGTCGACTAGCAAAATCGATGGCCTGAAAAAGCTGGGGCGAGAATAAAGCAAAATAAAAACCGAAAGCAAAGTCGCAGTAAATCGCCCTCCGCATTTTGCTCATATCCCTCGAATCTGTGGCAGTTGTACGTGTCATTTGGCTGCAGTTTTATTTGCTTGGCCATAATGCAACTTTATGTTTATGGCCCTGCTCCGGCGGGCTCCTCTCTTTTCTGCTGTCCCAGCTGCAGGAGCCCCTGACTCTGGCCATTGAAGTTAGCTGATCTTGCACTCGACTAAGCGGAAAACACACATAACACAAAGCTCGGCGAAAAACAATAAATGGGCCAATGGCTGTGAATTTTTCACAGTGAAGTTTGGCTTACTCTGAAATTTCATCTCATCTTGGAAAATTATGGAATCGATTTAACATACATTATTCGGATAGCTTGCATTTTAATAATGTATTTGAATTGTTCAGCTTGTGATATTTTTAGAAAAGCAAATATTAGTTTTTTAATAAGTGGAGTTTTTAATTAAAATACGTAAGGAAATAAATAAATTTCTATGAGGCTTCAATAAAACGAATACACTTATGTCTTGGAAAATAATAAAATTCCAAAAAACTTAAGCATAGACGAAACCTTTTGGTATCCATTTGATAGCCAAAACTACTGCTAAAGTAATATCTAAAACACTAAATTTGTTTTAAGATTAAACACATTTTTACTTCATTTAGTTAAAGTTAAGAATTTGCATTTTAAAATAGTTTTAAAATATGAATTTAAAAGTATTAAAATACCCACCAAAAGTCTAAGGGAACAACTCATTTTCTATTATATTCTTAAAATAACAACAAGTTCAGAACAATTTACGCTCATTATAGCAAAGATAAATATTGCACAGCTTTTTAATCCATTCAAGGCGAATCAAAACCCAGCTAATACCCTTTCACTTCGGAGAACTCTCTCCCGCTGACCCTAATCGTTGGCACATGACGTCGCAGCGACTTTCACGATGCTGCAAACTGTTAAAAATAGATTTTGCTTGGCTTTTTGCAGGCCAGGCCGGAGGTTTGGAGGTTCGGAGGTGCGGAGGTGCGGAGGACAGCCCCAAGCCAGCAGTAAAATCGGGGTCCTGCTCTGACTCCTCTTCCGAAGTCAGGACCTGGACTTGGGCACGTTTCCCTTGCGCTGCCGAGCAATGAAATGTTCTAATGCCATTTGCAAGTGGAACGGAAGGAAAAAATGTGAGAGTGGAGGGCATTTTCACAGGCTGGATGTTGGCTTTTCAGCTTCCAGACAGACGGGCGACATTTTTTTCGGTACGATATAAAAATGGAAAGTTGGCATAAAAAGTAAACAGCAGATGGCATAGTGGCTCCGGGGGCGGTGTGGTACCGAAGGTAACTAAACGGAAAGCAAAAGCCAATGCTGCAAAAACGAAGGAAAATGCCAGTAACTGCAGCTGGAGGATGGGGAGAAGTCAGTAAATCAGGTCAGGGATTTGGATGGTGAATGCTTCCCTCTGCAGTTTTCCTCTTTTTGGTGTTGCTTTGTTTCGTTTTCTTTTGGCTTTGGGCTTTCGCTAGGTTTTTGTTTTCTTTTTTTTTTGGCTGCGCTAGGAAAAGTGAAATTGAAATTACGTATACGCCGCGGTGGTCCCGATGCAAGCATTAATTTAATTACAGCTAGCAGACGACAAACAACAAATTGAACTGAAAAGCCGGCCAAATGAGTGCGCCACATATTCAAGTCTCTTTATGCTTTGTGTGTCACTGGAGCAGTCAGTTGGCAGCTGGCTAAAAGGGGGTTGGGTTGGCCAGAAGGGTTTGGTATTTGCCCGACAACCGCAAGCTGCATTTTTAATTGCGCACACGTGCGAAGCAGCAGCCCCAGGAAAACTGAAGGAGCGGTTGCGGGGCAGGCTGAGGGGAGCAGCTGGGAAAGCCGCCCGGAGGATGCGGCAGCTCTACTTGAACTCATTTGGCGTGGAAATTATGGCACGCTCAAGTTGATTTTGACAGGCAGCAGGCGCAAGTATTCCCCAGCACAAAACTGAAACTCAAACACACACACACACACACTGCCATACGCATCCTTGAATCCTGGAAAAGTTTTGCGAAATTGTTCGGCACGTTCGGCGGTCTCTGCCCAGACCACTGGGTCCTGAACCTATCCTGCTGCATAGCAAAATATTTTCAGAATCTATTTTATGGTTTTTCATTAAATTGAAAGCTCTATTAAAATCTGTTTTTATTGCTTTTAAAAATTGATCATGACATTTGGTGTGCGAAAATTATACAAGCCAATTAAAGTTATTAAGCAGTTTAAACTTATAATAACCATTTATTTATATTTAAAATTTAATCCTATTTGAGATTGTAATATCTTCAATATGGAAAACCCGTTTTTAAATGATCGGAAAATATAATAAAATGTATTTTTTTACGTGTGGCAATAAGTGTCTAACTTGCAAATGGCAGAGCAGACTGCTTTTCCTGGGCAGGCTTTTAATTGATATGCAATAAACATTGCCCACCGAACGGCAGACAGGCAGGCGAATCGATGGAGGAGCTGGATGTTTGACTGACAGACAAAAGCTGGCACAGCTCCGACAAGTAAATCCGGACAGGACTCTATTTTTGCCCGCACTTGGCACTTTCTCAGCTTCTGTTTTGTTTCCTTTCCGACGCTCCAGTTTCCGCTTTTCCCACTTCCCCCCCCTCCCCTTCTCCTTTTCCTTTTCCCCCAGCCCTTCAACCATTCAAGTTTAATGCGCTTAGTTGCTCTGACTCCATCTGCGTTTCTGTTTCTGGCCTGGCTCTGTACTGTCTTACTTTGTTTCCTTGGATGCTCCTCCTGTTGGGCATTGTGTAACATTTAAGAAAATTGAATTACAATGTATTTTGGTAAATTTAGCAAAAATTGTTGCCTCCTAATTGAGTCTGTGTGGTCGAGGCTTAGAACGCTTAAAGTGTACGCAATGTGAATTGTGTAACAAGCACATTAGACCATAATTAAATGGCTGGCTTGAGTTGCTCAATCTGCTGATAAAGCAGGAAATTGTTTGCAGTTAAATACTCAGTAACAATGACTCAATAATCAGCATCTACTTAAATACTGGAGTTCCCAGATTCTATCGAAAATAAGTTATTTGATTTAATTGACATTTACGAAGCCTTTGGCAAACAAAGACTTTCAATTAAGCTCTTTCAAATACTCATTTATTATGTATTTACATAGACATTGTACTCTTAAGTGCATCAGAACTAACTGAATTGTCGAAGAATCCATAGTAACTTATGTGCAAGATTGACAATAAAATGTGAATTACCGAAAACATGAAACAATTGGTTGGAAATCCTCTGACGATGCGTTTCCATACTTTGTATTAATAACTTTTAATAAAGACACTTGTTATATTACTCTTAAACCAGCTCTACAATATTAATATTTAAATGTTGTGGGATCATTTACTTACTCATTCTATCAGACGCAACAATGCTGGCTGTTGAATTGGCTGCCTTAATGTATTGGCTTTGGTTGAATTGTATCACGTATACGCCTAGTTGCGCATTGTTGGTTAGCACCAAAATGGAATGAATGAACTTAATAGTAATATAATTCACAATTTAATTTGAAGTTTGCTTTTCGTTTCACGTTTCGAATGCTGAATTACACACAAACCAGACAAAAGAATAAAATAGGAATATGTTATAACAGACAGGACACGCACACAGTGAGACAAATGGCAGCTGCTGCTGTTTTAGATGTAGTTGTGTTTTGGTATTCCCACGCTAGTCCTAGAAATTTGTCGCTGCTTTTGATTGCCATTTAAATGTGCATATTTAATTTGTTTATTTATCGGATGGAGCAAGGCCTCAAAAAAAGAAAAACACACAGCTGAAATGCAATTTGGGTTTTAATTTTAATTTATTTATGGCCATTTATTTAAATTCTGCCGAAAATATTTGCCTGAGACCATTTTTTTTTGAACGACATTTTGCCTTTTGTTGTGATAATTTATGCAAATTATTTTCGAATTTTCCATGCTTGCTCAATGGGGCATTTCGACGTTTCCCTCTGGCTGCCATTTCAATAATTCATTATTGATTGGCAGAAGTTGTGTCGAATAGATAAACTTTGACTGTACTCTGATGAATCGACTGAAATTGAATTTAATTCCAATGATAATTCGTGTGGCTCAACTTTATCGTTTATTTATTAAAGCGTTGAAATTGAAAAAACAAAAAAAAAAATTTAATAAGAATAATTATTATCAATTGTATAAAAAACGGGCAAAATTAAAGAAATAAGATCCACGAATCTTGAAAGAAAGGTGCCCTTGGAAAAGGAAATCCCCATGAAAATTTAAATTATTCTTGCATTATTTTAATCTGCTTTTGCGGTAAGGGGATTTCCCTTGTAAACGGAATTCGTTTGCAATTATTAAAATGTTGGCTCGATTCTTGCGGAATTTATGCAACGCACAATTAATATTAACGCTTGCGCTGGTAATTCTTATTTCACTGCCAACAAAGAGATTAAAACAAAACGGTTGATTAAATTTTTATGACTGCAGTGTATTTATCTACTGGGGCAATATAATTTTTCCACTAGTTATTAAGAGTAGTTACTCTTGTCAGTAACAAAGAAAACGCCAATTAAATAACAAGTCAGCATGAAACGAGGTTCTCGACTTTTAATTATCCTTCTTTTCTCTGTTTCATTTCCCAAAACTTTTTAAGAGAAAAAAATCTGTTTCAGTTTTTCGTTGCGATCATTACTGTTACAAATTGTAAAAATCCTTGGCAAAAAAACGTTTTTGTAAGTTTGTTTTATTAGACTTTTTTTAGTTAGCGCTTTTAATCTCACTGCAATAAAAACCAATTTCACCGAACAAGTATACATGTATAAACTACTTAAAAAAGATGTAATCTTCTTTAAAATAAATGTTTGCTAAACGATTTTAATCCTGGCTTATTAAACAATTTGTAACCGCTGAAAAAACAGATTCCTTAAGATTTTCAAAACCTACAAAATATTAGTTTTTTTATTGTTATTTATTTTCTCTAAATTTTAAAGCAAGAATTAAGTTTAAAAATATGATTCTTGATTCTTCTATAGCATTTTCTTTAGACTAATATACCCTCCCTTTGGGGTTTCCCAGTAGGAAAAGTTTAAATGTCATTGTAATTAAAATAAAAATGTTCGCTCCAATAACTCTCGATTTGTTAATGAAAATGGCTGCCGCAATAATTATATTAAGGCTGAGTTGTGGCATTTTCATTCAGGTTGGCCACGTTCCTCTGAACTGATGCCCAATTTGTTTTTTTTTTCAATTTAAAATAATTAAAATGCCGCATATAAGCCTCGGCGCAAATCCTTTTCGAGATGGCGAACCTTTTTCAACCGCAAATATTATAATGTGCCCCTGATCCCCAACCGATTTTCGAACGTCCTTCTCCCTTTCAAAATTTAGGGGCACTTGAGCGTTGCTAAGCAAGATTTATGAGCCGCTGGAGGGGGCGTGGCATTGGCATTGCCATTGCCTGTGCACTGGTTATTTATTTTTCGGTATTTGCCAAGGCCTTTTGCTTTGTTTGCCATCTTTTGTGGCCTCCGAGAAGTTTTCAACTGGCCTTGCTCTTTTCGGGCAGCCCCCTCTGACCATTTGTTCTTAGCTACGGGTTGTGGCATTTAAATAATTTAAAACATTTGAACGTTTTGGGGCAATTTGGTTAATGGCCTGAGCCTGCCAAAAGGGTTCGAGGTCTGCTGAAGTCCCCAAACGAGCTCGTAAATAACGCCAAGCGGACGATAACGATTGGGCTGTCTCAGTTGCCTAATGTGCATTATCAGATAAATCCGGGATTTGGGAAAGGCAAGCGAAAAACTTTGCTTTAAGAGTCCAGCTGCTTTAAGGACATGTGACGCAGGTCCGTGCAACGCTCTCTCATGTGGCGCACTAGTTCAAGGACTCGTCCAACTCGCTCCAACCCAATTACGCAAAAACTACACAATCTCACTTTGAAACACATACCGGTACACAGGGAAAATACCGAGCAACGTATGTTATGCATTTGAGTGTTTTTAAATTAAATTAAATTATACTAAATTTAATTTTAATAAAATGTGTAAATTTTTTTTTTAAATGATTTGTATTTAATAATATTAATTAATTATAATTTTGTTTGTAGGCGACCTTTGATGTATGTTTGAATTTTTTGAGTTTTTCCGGCTCGAGGTCAATTATCTATAACATAGGAATATACTAGTTCTTAGTATCACATTTTGTTATGCTAATAATTTTTAATTTAAATTTTTTTAAATTATTATTTTCAAAATTCATTGATTAACTAATAAGTGAAATTTGCAGAAATAGCAGACAAATAAAATAATAATAACTTATTTTATATGCATTTCTTAACTCTCCTTGATGCAAATAACACATTTGACTTTAATAATAATGTAAAAGAAATAAAGATTATGTTTGTCCTTAAAAAAATATAATAAAAATCTTTTTAATCATTAATTAATTAGATTTGGTACAAAATTAAGTTATTAGCAACAACTTTATAACCGAAAAAAATGTTGGTGTGTGGACTTTAAAATTTTCAATTGCTTAAAAAACTAAAATAGGATAACTTGAAAATTCTTAGGACATCTCATATGGTAATTTCAACACTTTAATAGTTTTCCCCCGTGTACGGGTTTGAAATAAATGGCATCCAACCTGCCCTGGCAACCTTTAACCCTAAAAATGCGACCCGACCTAGAAATGTGTGTTTGCTCGCTCTCGCTCACCATAGGGGTATCTGTCCTTTTTTCACAAAGCTAGCGTGCCATGAATTTTTGTTTATGCTTGCGGGCAGAAGATAAACACTGGCACACTCTCACACACACACACACACAGCCACACACGGGTCGCGTAAAATGTGCCAATGCCAAAGGATAACGTGCGGTGCACATATCCTGACTGACGACTGTCGACTGACAACGACATAACCACAAGCAGATAGCGCAGCTTATGCAAACGTTCAAGGACACCGCTGCACCGATGTGTTGGTGCGAGGCTTTCCAAGTGGCGCCTGCAGGTTATGCAACACTTTTGTGTTTGCCCGTTTCGCCACTGTGTGTGTGCCAGTTTTGTGTGTGCGTGTGTGTAAGTGTGCCTTTCAGTCGGCCCAAACTCTGGCTTTAATTGCTGGCAATTTGTCAGGCTAATTTGCTAAATTTGACACCTCAGCGAGCGCACACACTTACAAATTAATGACGTCAAAAATAAAACTCTCGCTCTTTCTCTTTTGCTCTTCGGTCAGCCTCGCTCTATGTATTTGTGTGTGCGTGTGAACAGCAGCTGTGTATGTGCGTCTGTGTGTGTGTGCGTGCTGTTTTCACTTTCACTTTCATTGATTTTCAAGCATCGCAACAAATGCTGGTCACCGTATATAAAAACACCACTCACTGGATTTTCCACCGATTAATAGCAGATTTATCACCTTTTTATTTGTTGTCGTGCGATTTATTGGCTAACTTTTCGCGGGTTATATTTTTTCGCATATATTTTTTTTATTTTTTACTGAACACTTTCTCTGGTTTTGCTCGGTCGCGTGGCTCCTTTGCGTGGCATCATGGTCCGCTGAAAAGGCAGCCCGCAATTTTCAACGTCGAACTGCGCTCGCTGCCAAAACTGAACTGAACTTCTGCCAAAAGCGTTGCCATGGCCAAAGTAGCAGCAGCAGCAGTAGCAGCATTCCGCTGCTGAAACTGGCTGTTAAATACTGGTAACAGTTTAGCAGTTGGCGGCGCATGCGCTGTCCCCATTTTAGCTTTCCTTTTCCCGCATTTCCCCCCTTTTACGTCACAGTTCGCATCACACTGTTGCGTCCTGTTTTTCACTCTCTTGGCAGCTTTGTTTACATTGTTTGGCTGTTTGCCTGCTGGGGTATTTTCCTATTTTCGTGATGGCATCTATAAATAAAGTTACGCATACGCCACGTGGGCTCGAGCAAGGTGAGAAGCCATCAATCGCGTGATTGATTGTGGCTATCTATTTTTGGTGTGAAGAGAATTTTTATCCAAAGCATTTATTTTTAGCAGTTAAAATTACTTGGTGCTAACTCAATCTAAAATAAGTAAGTTATGGTATTCTAGTTAAAAGCAAGAAGCTTCTTAGATCAAAAAGCCTTCCAAAAGTTCTCATATTCAACTAGAACAAAACCAATTACATTTTCAACGCTTGGCTAATTTAAATACCCGATAATGCTGAAAGTATTTACTATCTTGCTTTAGTTGCCCCACAATGATCTCCCAGGTCGTTTTATTTTTTTTACTTGTCACATTTGCAACCTGTCTGCTACGAGAACGTAAATACAAGCCTCTGCGTAAGTTGAAAAACTTTTCTCAGGCTTGAGAATAAAGAGAAGTATTTTATTTTTTTAGGTTGTGAGGAAACGAATATTAATCAAACGCGATCTTCGCTTATAGCCGCTTGCCTAAAGGCAGATGAATGCTATATTATTAGACCAGTGGGTAATTGTCCGAAAAAACAAGTGTGTTGTGTAAAGAAACGCAGTTTTAAAATTGAAGAAAATGAATGGTTTGACCCATTGGTATTAAATTTGTACTATTTAAAATGAATAAAAATACCATTCGCTGAAAAAATTGAACAAAATTAGATACGCTGTAGTCGAGTGTCTCGACTGAAATTACCCGAAGCTGATATTGCATTTCGAAAATTTTTGCGGACATATTTAGATCGACTTGGCTACTCATACTGATCAAGGACACTCTCCTAGTAACAGGTATAAAAATAGATTTGTTTTTTAAGTTTTTTGAGAAGTTTATAAATATATATAATTTGCAAAAACAATAGACAGTAACCTTATATAGCTCTATTAACATTCAAAATATTTTATCATTGCTAGAAATATTACCCAAAAGCAGTTTGTAAGCTGTCGAAAATTTCCAATATATAATATTTCTGATATCTACGAACATCCTATCGTTCTAACAGAAATTTTGCCAGAGCCGCAACTTATTAGTCTTCCACGTGTCGGCCAAATTACTTTGTCCAACTCAATTTAAGGCCACAAATGCCCCAAAGAATAACTCGAACACGTTTTCTTTTGTCACTATGTGTGTTTTTGGGGTAGCAATTTTCACGCTGATTGGTTTCCAGTAATTTTTCGTTGTTGCCTTCGCCTTTCATTTATTTTGTTCTTTGGCCAAACATAAAAAGTCAACGAGCCAAAGCCAAATGTCAAACCCCCGCCGCCCCCTTTCCGCCCTTTCGCCCGCATCCGTTCAAGGACTTTCGGAATTTAATAATGAAATAGCCCCGTCCTTGGCCTGCGAACAATTTTCAATTTTCCACTTTCAGCTTTTGGCGTTTGGCCTTCGGGCGAGAATGCGTTTGATAAATATCCCAACGAAATCGAAACAGGTCGAACTTTATTTATCGCGCGTTTGGTCACGAACTAGCTACGCAGTTGTAGTTTCTGTACTGCATTAAATAATCAGTTGCAATAACTAATTAAAAGTTTTTCCTGAGCGGATAATTTCATTTCATTGCTAACTTTATTCTGTCGCAATCGATTACATTCGCCCTCCTCTTTTTCAGCCATGAAGTTGGATGTGGGCCATAAATAACAGCAAGTTAGGCACTTTCCCTATTAGGGGCGTGGCATGTTGTGTGGGCGTTGCGGCCTAAGTCCCTTTGGGGCGAAAGTTGAGGAAATGGCTGAGACAAAGTCGGAAGCTGGGAAAGGATACCAAGGATATTGAGCCGGGGGCTCGGCTGCGATTTTTATCAATGAACGATGGGCGATGAGACAAAGTTATTATGCGAAATCAGTGGGCGGCCTGTCCTTGTTTGTCCTTGCGTGGGAAGATTGTTGCTGCTCTCGATGTGATGTGTGTCATTTGGCCGAGGATATCGGCTGGGGCCCTTGAAGGAGTCAATTGAGGAAGATTGAATACCCGTACAAGAAGTTTGTGCTAGGAGATGAGGGGATTCAATGGAACTTCTATTAATAAAAATAGAAAGGAGAACGCCGAGAATTTTTTTTTAAATAAAGAAGACTACCGTGGAAATACAAGCAATGTTTTTGTTTAAGAAGAACATTTTCCTTAAATGAGGGAAAACACCAAATAATATTGTTTAATTGGTCTATCTATTAATCCATTTTATTAGTCATAAATTAGTATTGAAACTTATTTACGATAAGATTTAATTTATCATAATTTATCAAATTATTGCTAATTTTCATTTGTGCTACAATGTAGGCCATATTAAGCTAACTGGGTTGATCTTGATTAAAAATTTAAAAGAACATTTTTTCTTACAGTTCATTTTTTGTGTCCATACCTACAATAATGTTAAAGAAGTGAACGTATAATTTGAATTGGCTTAAGAGATAAAGCGAGCTAAGCCAGAAATACAGAATTAAAACCTTGAAAAATACTTTAAAATTTTGTACTCTTATATTTTATAAACTGAGGATGTGTTTTCCGACAATTTTAATCTTATTTAAAAATCAACAATATTGGTAAAGCTTTTACAACACTCAAAATTGGTATACATCTTGGTTAAAGAGCAATTTGGATGCAATAAGAGATAATATAGGCTTCAACAAGGTTGGTTTTTAAGGCGCTTTCCCAGCGTTAGGCTGAAATCAATATGAGTCTTTTCCGGGGTATTGAAAATTTGTACTGCAAACGAGTCTTCTGCGGCTTGTTATTTCTCCTCCCTTTATAACTTCCACATCTGGCCCGTCTGCCTGCCACTCAGCTGGCGGCCATATCGTCCTCAATTGAGGGCCAATCGAGTGGAGATACTGGCAGCGTTCGAACTTTTATGACATCGCCATGGAGTACTCGGCTAATCATAACCGATAACGGCCGCGGGGCGGATTTTCGTGCATTCAACTATCTATCCGGCAGTTTGCAAGTTTTTTTGGCGGGTGTTGAGCGTTTGCTGCTCATTAGGGCGAAACTGTTGCAAGACTTTTAGCCATGGCCAACTTGCTTTTGGCGGGAATGTGTGCTAGAGTGTGTGTGTGTGTGTGCCTGCCCGGCGCACTTACACTTAATTGAATCCTGCGGGCGTGGTGGATCCTAGTCGGTGGGTGGCTGGGTGGGTGGTGGTGTGCCTCTGGGGCATGCGGCATGCCAAAGCGTTTAGCAACCAAATACGCTTTGCTCCCGACTTGCCGCCCGTCTCTCGCTCTCGCCGGTCTTTGTTGTTCTTAGAGCTCACATCCTGCCGCCGGGGCATCCTCATCCTCATTCTCGCTTTCATCGACATCCACATGCACGTCCTCATACTCATCCAGTGAACCAGGGAAGAAGGAGCGCGGAGCGGCCGGCCTTAATTTAATTAATAAATTCAACCCCAAAGGGGAAAATGGCTCTTTAAACACCCTTTTTTTTTTTTTTCCCCCCACCCCCCCTTTTAATGCACTCCAAAAATAGTTCTCATCTAATTTGGATGTATTATATAATTACTCATTAATTATTATATACAATAATTAAAAATCGTACTTTAACATTTGAGTGCATATTTTAGCAGCATTTAGTTTGTTATTGAGCTCATTTAATAAATTGTTACATTTCTTATGCAATACAAAAAACATTTTTTTAAATTATACTTATTAAAGAACCATTTTCAGAATTTTATATACGAATATGAATGTCGTAGATTTTTTGATTCAGGTGAGTATCAGTGATACGCTAAAATGTACGAAGTTAAAAGAGAGGTTTCCATAATTTTATGATGCCCTGGCCTTCATTTTAAAGTCTGTCTTTATTGAGTAGCACGATAATATCATTATATCAACCTTTTTCAAGGAAATTCGTTTTGGAAAATACAAAATATATAAAAGTCAATTTTTCTATATAAAATTTTAAAAAAATGCTGGCCATTTTTTTCTGAGTGTATTCTCTTTGCATTCAGCATTTGGCTGCGTCGCGTCTCCTGCCGTTGGGTTTTGTCCTCCTCCTTAATGCCACTTCACTTGTGCTTGCTCGTTTTTTAAACATGTTTTATTACATTTTTTTCGCTAGCTGGCGCCGTTTTCATGGCACCGGAAGTTGCCACATACATACACACACACACAGCTATAGAGTGTGTGGCAAAATGAGCAATGAGCAAATGAGCAAAATGTTATAAATTGCCAAAAGTCCGCTTTAGCGTTACCCCCTTTTATTTCCTGAGCTCTTCTTTGTTCTCAGCGGTTTTTGTTCGTATGTTTGGTTTGGAGATAATGCAAGGGAAAATCTTGTTCACTCTGGTCACTGACCAAATGTGTGGATCCAACTCCCGACCCCCAGGATAATTATGAGCTATGTGTGGAATGCTCCAGCCACAGTCTTACCTACGTTTAATTTATGCACAAATAACCCGAGCAAATTATTCGCTTTGTTCCGCAAATGTTTTTCGAGTGAATTGTGTTTGGTCAGGAAAGGGGTGGAAAATGTGGGAAAACTTTCGCCAGCGTTTCATCTTCCGGTCCAATATCTATGGAGATTAACAAGCGTGTGGTGTGGATTCCCCTTTCTGCACTTCGCCCCCCTTTTTCTGACCATAATCGCCTTTTCTTGCCAGTTGCCGCCATATGCCCATCGTTAGTTGGATATCCTGGCTGTCTGGGTCGCAGGACCAGCAAACTGGATACCGATTCGCCGATCCGTTTGCCCTTTGCTGGTAGTTTTCCCCGAATTTTCCTTTTTGCTTTTCACACATTTAGTTGGGGGATTCAGTTTTTGCTACGCCCAATTTTTTCCACCCCTTTTTTTTCAGTAGCTGCAGCTCCAACAAAAGTCCATTATCCTTTTCGGCGTTATCGGTAATCAATTTCAGTGGACCCTCGTAGTAAAAAAAAGTTTTCGCCCTCTAGCAGCGGACCAACAAAAGCGGTAGTTGCAAAAGTAACAACAACAATAACAATTGTTAGTTTTGAAATATGCACGACCCCCAACCACACAGCACACAGCCACCCATTCACCCAATCACCACCCACTCACACGCATGTGGTCTTACAAAAGCTTTTGAAGTGCTGTTTGCAGTTGCAGCCGTATTTCCATCACCCGTGCCCCACACTCAGAGAAACATAGAGCACAAATTCTATCAATTTTAATAAGAATTTTTAGCCTGTTGGGACACAAAATTACTATGTTTGCACTACTCTTTTTTTGAAATTTTATTTGATTTGGATTTATATTATAAGTTAAATGAAATATGACATTCCAAATTTGATTATATTATTTTGACCAAATACACAAATTGCATTTGGTGTGAAAATTCCCCTTTGACTTGTAAGTTTTTACATTAGGAGGTCGTCCAACTTTAAGCTCCAATATAGAATACATTTTATTTAAAATGGCAAAAAACATTTATCCCTTAGCTTATAATGAAAGTTGGTTTATTAAGCATTGACTGAAATCGGAGCATATTCGATGTCTTGACTTTAAGTTAAAATAAGAAAGGAAGCAAACTTAGGCAAGCCGAAGCTTATATACCCTTGCAGTAATTACAAAACGACTACATTTCGATTTCTATACCTTTAATTACTAAAAGCATTTCAATGTCGATTTTGGGGTGCATTTTGCCATCGTTTCTAAGGCAATCATATAGCTGCCGATTTTGATTTTGCTGTTGTCCGGTTTTGATAAAACTAATTCTGATATAGTATATAATTACTGTATCCCAAAGGAAAAAGAATAGAAAAACAGCAATATAATTTTTTTTTCATTTTAAAATAATATAAATATTATTACTAAAACTATTTTTCCTGTCTGTACGGAGCAAGTTTTGTGAGCGCATTTTGGACTGCAATTTCAGTCGCCCCCGACGAATAATTCAATTGCAATGTGGAACAATTTTCGTTGTTGTTGCCGGTTGGCAGCGTTGTTGCTGTTGTCCAGTCACTTACATAGTTGTCGAGTTGTTGAAAGTTTGATTTTTTTACCAGCTTTTTGCCATTGCCGTTGATGTTGCACTCGCAATTGGCTACAAATTGGCTTGTCGAATTAGAAGAGTAGGCTGCGAAGGGGGAGTCCAAATCAGGACTCAGCCTTGCGCTAGATTTCAGCAGCAAGTGGTTCCTAATTGTATGCGAACAGCTGCAGGAGCAGCAGAGGAGTCCGCTCTCACAGATATAATTACGTTTTCCATGTACACTTGTACATGGTCCTGCTCGTCGGATGAATTATGCAGATGCTTGTGCAGCTGGTCCTCCTTTTGTCTGGCTGTTCATTTCACTGCAGTCTTTTATGGCTGGCGAAGAGGATTGAAAGGCGGTGCCGGCGGGGAAAGTGAAACTGTAGCTTTCACCCCAGTGAAAAGCGCTTTTCAATTTGGCGGCTTGCCTCAACACAACTCAAACCATCTGAATTGGGCTCTCTGTGCGGCTTTCACTTTTCAATTAATTTTTGCGGCGACCGCGTTGTGGTATTTTATGTAAGCGCTCCCTGGTTGCTATTTCAATGCCCTGAGGTTGGCCAAATGGGTTTGTTAGTTTGCCAGAAATCAGGGAAAAATTTAGATTTTGGCAGGAAATTATTAAAAGGATATCCTTGATTCTCAATTAAGTTCCAATAATCAATAAAATCTTTTTAAATTACAAATAATAAGCAATTTATAATTTAATATATGTATATTTATTTATATTATTATTATTTCGCTAAAGTTTGAAATACCCTTTACATATTTTACAACTTGTTAAAGGATTCTGTGTATATGGGTATACTTCTTAATAGTAAATAAATATTTATAATCCTTGCATTTATATTTTTATCTATTCAGCATTTTGCAAGGACAAAAACATCTGAATTGCATGCTCCACTATTATTTTTGGCTGTGGCTTTTTTATGTGGGTCAGTGCGGAATTTGGCTGGCGCTCAGAAAGAGTGCCAAGCCACGTGACTATTTGGAACAATTGCAGGAGGCAGAGTCCCGGGAAAAACTGGCCAAGCCCAGGACAACAATGTGGGGCGAATGTGTCGATTAGCCAAATTGAAAATGACAAGCTGGAAGCTCAGAAACTGGGCCAGGGAACAGCTTATTATGCTGAAGATGATGCAGCGAGGCTGGGGGTGAAAACCAACTGAGAAGTGGGTCAAATGCTTAGGGAGTGGCTGCCAATAAGAGCGCATTGTGGGGTCGAGTATTAAAAATAAACGCGGAAAATATATATTGGTAAATCTCAATTTTCAGCGGACCACTCGGCGTATGAGTAATTTTCTCTAAGCGGGTTACAGCGCACGGTCCACTCAGCAGTATTTTCAGTCCGATCGACTGGGGTTCAATGCAAAATCCGATATACGATTTATTTTGGTTAACTGCACATCCAATAAACTACAGAAAATCGGAGAAAGGGATGCACTGCAAGAGGGGTGAGGGGGTTAATCGGGGGAAACACCGAGAGACGATGTGTAAATATTGACTTTTGAAAATCGAAATCGTCAAAATGTTCATAAAAGTCCAATGGAAACCGTTCAGCGCAGCAAATATTTGGCTCTGCCAACTGACATGACTCCACATCCTGCCCTCTTACTCGTTTCAGGATTTTTTGACTGTGTCCTGCGGATGTGCATGACCATGGCAACTCTGACCAGCAACCAGGATTTTGTCTGCCCCCACTCCCTTTTTCCCTTCTGACTTCAGCTTGCTGAAAATCACAGCGTATAAATAATGAAAAGCGATTTAATTTTTAACAGCTGCAGTTTGTGTGTTGTGGAATAGAGTGACGATGGCATCGCGTGTTTGGCTCGACTTCTTTTCTGTTCGCATGCTGACCATCACCACCCAATTCAGCCATCCTGTCCCAATTCAAACTCCAATACTAACTCTCGTGAAACGACTTAAATGCTCAAATTTCACACATCATTTGGGCACGACTTGCATCCTTGGCAGGGTTTTGAATGGATTTGTACGGGGTTTCGCTGATGAAATTTCCGGACATCAATTATGGACACTCACAGGTGGTTGCGGTTTGTGACCAACAGATCAAAGGTATGGGGTTTCATTGAATACTTTTGGTTTGAGAATTTTAATTGAATAATATCATAATTCACGCTGTGCTTTAAAGTGTAGCCATAACTTTGTATACATTGCCCGTTAAGGGATTTTAAATTGTAATTACACAAAATCATATTGCGTGAAATTGACTATTTTTACTTGATACTTCGAGATAAGTATTTTATGTTTCCCTTTCCACATTCTTCAGTGTTGTTTTATGCTGAGCTTTAAGCTGGATGCTGCGTTCCATCATTAACTATTTCATAATACTGTCAATGCAATATAAATAAAGTAATTTGTGACTGCAAAATGTACGATTATCAGTCACGTCAGTTTACCCAATATTTTTTTCCTTTAAATATAACGATTAATAAAACATTTTTTTAATAAGTTTATACGATGATGGAAAGTAATTATTGACTCTTTATTTAATCTGAATATAGAAGAATCGATTTTTTTATGAAAAAATATTTGCTTAATTAAAGCCGGATCTTAATTTAAAATGGTTCACCGAAGGCAAATGTTTTTTCGTTAAGTAATTAAAGATGCTTTTCGGCAACATCTTTTAGTACATGTCAGCTTAAAACTCTTTGACTTTCTACGACCTTTGAGGCTCAGTTACATTTCCCCAGCCACACATGTTTTTGTCTCCTTACATATTCCCTGCAGTTGTAAGCCGGCTTTTATGGTCTTAATGTCTGAGCCATAAACGAAAGTTTTGCCATAATGTAATTTTCATATTTTCATATTACAATTTAATGTCCTAGTTGATTGAATAAGAAGATGCACCTGTACCGCTTACAAATATGACAAAATGCTTTAGTTCAGGGCCGCCTTAATTGCTAATAAAACTTGGTCGTTAATGTAAGTGATTCATTTTCAAGTTTAAAGCGAAGGACAACTTAGTTGCCAGTTTTCTTAGCTCCTCGATGGAAAATAGCTTACAGCAAAGTTGACATTCATTAGGGAGGGGCGAAAGGGAGTCGGGGACAAAAGCGGAAGCTGCTTGGCTCGCCATTTTCTTCCATTTCCGCCATCATCGCAGGGACAATGGCAACAGGCGAGGCGCTGAATTAGCAGTGGGGAGTGTCCTGTCCAGTCCTGGAACTCCTCGCCCCCCCCCCCTGTTGCCCCTGGCTCATCAAAAACTGTTTGAAATGAGTTTTTATTAGTTTTTGTTGCTGCCATTTTTTGCTGTCACTTGTTGTTTCCCATCTTTCTCTCCATTCACCCATTCCCTCCACATTTTTTGTGTGTGTGTTGGTTTTTTTTGTGTGCGTGTTAATTAAATTTCAAATGCACAAAAGAACTAACGACACGTTGAGAGGAGAAATTGCGAAAGGAGAGGGGATGGATGGCGGTCGAATAATACCAAACCCATTCTCGCTTTAATTGCATCCATGTGTGTAAATGAAAATGTTTGCCGAGCTCTTCCTCATATTTCCCCCTCTCCCTGTGTTGTGGCATTTTTGCATTTAAGCAACCGAAATGGCTAGAACAAGGAGAAGTGGCAAGTTCAGCGGCAAAGATTTAGTCGGACCAACGCCAAGTTTCTGGCCATAAACTTTATTCCGGGGCTTCCGAGTAAAATGTTTTCCTCTTTGCAGCCTCTATTTTTTGTTTTGTTTTTGTAGACGTTTGGCAGCATTTGTTTTGTTATGGTTTTAATTAAGTTTTAACTGGCGCTAGACCAAAAATGCACCACACCATATCTGAGCTCCAAGCTGCAAGAGTTGTTATAATTCACACACAACACACAAAGAAATATATATATTTTATGTTGATTAACAATTAGTTTAATTGTGTTTTTTAAGATGATAGCGGTGGCATCTTGCCAATCTAGTTCTTTAAACAAACAATCAGGAATAATTGTTATAAAAACTTTGTTTAGTTTTAAAAGTCTATAGTTTTTCTTTTCCTTGTCTAAGCAACTAATATGTCTCAGCCAAAATTTAAAGAATTTATGTTTATTGATAAGTGTATTTAACAGCTAAATAATTAAAAGAAATATATGAAAACAATCATTTCTAATATGTGTTCAGGCCAAAAATAAAATTTAAATTGTGCAGTTTTTTTTTTCCGTGGTGTGTTGCTGTGGAAAAGCCAGGGAAACACACAATGGGAACCGAAACCTTGCCCATGAGGCAGCTTTCAGCTCTCGGTTTCACTTTGGCCTGGCCGGATCTTTTGCGAATTTTGAGGATGGGAACGGGGCTGTTGCGAGGCTGCTGCTGCTGACAGGCGCCGGGGAAATTGATTAATGTGACTTGTAAATGGCGCCAGATGGGAAATGGAATGGGAGCGGTTAAGGGAAGGGAGCCGATGTAAACAGCCTAGAAATGTTCACTGGAAACTGCAGCAATTTGTGGCAGAAATTGTTGCGCCAAAAGTGTCACATGCAATTGTGCCGAAAGTCAGGCGCATGTTCAAAACACTCTCAAATGGCAACATCTATTAGCCAAGGTCCTGCGTCCTTGGGCTGCGTTTAGTTAATAGCCTACACCATAATTAACAGCCGCCAAGCAAACAATTTCAATGTTTGCTCCCGGATGAAAAATGATTTTTGGCCTTTGTGGCCTGTTTCACGTGGCAAGGCATCATAAATTTCCGAACCGCTCTCCCTGTTCCAAAATTTCATTATGCGAAACTGAGTTCCGTTAATGTGTTTCCCGAGGAGGCGGCAAAGAAAATGCGGAAAACTCAAGAGGAGCCCCAGAGAGGCAGACACACCAAATTATGCACAAGGCAAACAGTAAACATAAACGACACGAATGGGAAAAGTGGGAGGATCGCAGGAATAACAATACATGGTAAAATACATGGGAGATGTTAATACTTATAACCTATTTTTAATGAATAGAATGAATTTAACAGACAAAACAATCCTAATATAAACTATTTCAAAATCTAATAATTAATATTAATAGTTTATAGTTACAGTGGAGTATTTTGTAAAATATAAATTGAAACTTTGTGTAGGAACTCGTTTTAAAAATAAGTTTGTAATAGAAGGCTCAATTTAAACATCGAAAATAGGGCTATTTTGTGTGCACCGAAGTCTGGTGAATAAAAATTTAAAGTTATATTTTTCGGTTATATTATTCTTTTGCAGCTTTTTTACCTTTTAATGAGAATCCGCAGTGTGCTACGCTTCAAAACAAATAGCACAAAAATTACTATACCCATGGACAAATGGTAGTAATAGGCAATCCAAAAAATCTTTTGCAAAACTACGTTGTCTCGAAAAAAGTAGGGAAGTAGATCCAGGATCCATGATACGCCCATCATGACATAGATTCGCAGAATATATAGGTATCTGTGATTTGGACAAAGAATGCATAGTAAACGACATTATTAATAAAGCAACTAAGTAAATTCTTCTTACGTTTGCCTTGCCGAACTGAGCTTAGCAATTGACTTTTTCACGTTTTTGTTCGTTTTCACCACGTGTTTAATTGTAAGGCTAAGCCTTATCCCATCGAAGATGTTTAGGAACAGTATGGGTCCAACGAAATAAATAAATATACCCCAGTTATAAGCTGAAATTAAAAGAAATAATAACAGTGATCCAATGAGTGGATTATAATTAATTAAAAACGTACGATACAGCCAGCACTGAATGAAGCCAACAGAAGGTGTCCATTCAAGCTTAGTCAAATCATTGCCCCACATCCGATCTGTCACAATTAGGACACCGGTCAGGAAAGCCGTTGAAACCCAAACATAGACGGAGTAGACCCGGAAACGATAACGAGGATCATGAAGACCCATCGACATCAATGCTTTTTTTATTTGGTGGCTAACAACAACAAGCCAGAGAATTGAACCGACTGCAAAGAAATATCTGGTGTAACCTGCAAATAATCATTGAAGTTAGTAATTGATTAATACGATTTTGAATAAATTATTATATTCCGCGTTCAATTTTGATAACTTACCTGCTATGGTGCAAGCCTCATTTACTAAATTCCCATATCTAGTCACAATCCACATGATATGGTGTATGAACATGCAAATTAAATAGCAGACAAAGTTCAGATTCCGATTCCTATTTATAAAATACACTGTGATCGTAAGAATACTGCATATTGACGAAGCCACGACGACTAGTGGATGAGAATTAAAGTGTTTCAAAATATAATACATTGTGGTTTATTATTAATCACTTACTAATAATCTCTAGCTTCGCTTCCTGCCAATTTTGATTTTCATGGCACTTGTGTCGAACAACAAATACGCGCTTTGAAAGGTCGGAGGAAAAGTGATTGACATAGAGGCAGAAAGAGTCTTTGTTCATGGTCCAGTTTTGGGATTGAATTCCAAAATTTCCATCCTAATGAGATATAATTAATATACGAAACTTATGAAATATTGAAACGCAAACCTCGAACATTATGAGCTCATCATACGTCATTTCAAAGAACTCGTCGCAAAATCCGAACCGATCACTTTGTACGATACGGGACTTAGTCACATATGGTTGGAGCTCAGCAAGTTCCATCCTCACTTTATCACCGCACTCGCCATTCTCCGATATTTGATTTCGGGGGCAGCAGACCCGAACACAAGGTCTCAGTTTGCAGACACAGGCTCTTAGATGACTTTTCACCCGGACCTGGTATCCGCCCATAAGCTGCTCAAAATTATACATTCCCGTCAAGTGGACGGGTATATCGAGACCTTGGTAATTGTAGGTTCCATTATGCAGTGGAATATGTCGTATATCCACAGTGTCCGAGTAATTGCACCCAGGAATAGATCCCCAGGCTTTATTTAGAGTCTGTAGCACAATAACTATATGGAACAATTGCAGACCCATTTTAGAAACATTCACTTCGGTTATCAAAACTCAACTGATTCTCGAGAGCTTTTTTGCACTGATATATATAGCCCTTTTTTCGGCACGACACGGGTTCATTACTTTTAATCTCCTGGGATCATAATCAACATTTGGCCATCCAAGGCAATTAAAAATAATATTTTTTAAGCTGATTATGAAATTATGTGTCATGTAATGTGAGGAATATTCACATTATCCGAGTAATTGCACCCAGGAGTAATTGCTTTATTTAGAGTCTGTAGATCAATAACTATATACAATAATTGCACACCAATTTTAGAAACTTTCTCTTCGGTAATCAAAACTCAACTGATTATCGATAGCCTAATTGCACAGATATATGTATCTCGCTTTTTTGGGCACGACACGGGTTCATTACTTTAAATCTTCTGGGATCATAATCAACAATTGGCCATTCAAGGCAATAAAAAATAATATTTTTAAAGTTGATTATGAAATGATGTGTCATGTAATATGAGGAATATCCACATTATCCGAGTAATTGCACCCAGGAATAGATCCCCACACTTTATTTAGAGTCTGTAGCACAATAACTATATACAACAATTGCAGACCCATTTTAGAAACTTTCTCTTCGGTAATCAAAACTCAACTGAATCTCGATAACCTAATTTTACAAATATATATAGCGTTTTTTTTGGGCACGACACGTGTTCATTACTTTTAATCTCCTGGGATCATAATCAACAATTGGCCATTCAAGGCAATTAAAAATAATATTTTTAAGGTTGAGTAATTGCACCCAGGAATAGATCCCCTGGCTTTATTTAGATTCTGTAGCACAATAAATATATAGAACAATTGCAGACCCATTTTAGAAACTTTCTCTTCGGTAATCAAAACTTAACTGATTATCGATAGCCTAATTGCACATTTTTTTGGCCACGACACGTGTTCATTACTTTTAATCTCCTGGGATCATAATCAACTATTGGCCTTTCAAGGCAATTATAAATATTATTTTTATGTAAAAGTTTTAAGATAAAGTTGATTATGAAATCATGAGTTATTAAATATAAGGAATATGATAATTGTGAGAGTACTCTGATAAGGCAAATAACAAAAGTTGTAGCACAATTTATAACAAAGGTATCACAAAAATTAAATATTCTATATTTGGATTTCGATGCTTAAAAACTTAGAATCCAAGGTTGTTTATATGATATGTTTTTCGTTTTTAAAAAAGTAAAACCGTAATTCTATGTCTCGGATTATATGGAAATAACGAAGTGACAAATTTGTTTTCATTACGATTATTCCTATAGGAGCTATATAGTAGGCCAATCCGTCCCGGTCCGACTTAGTACACAAGTACTTCTGTTGCAGAAAGAAATCTTTTGCAAAGTTTCTCCAAAGAGATATAAAACAGAGCGACTAGTTTGCGTAGAAACGGAAAGACAGACGGACAGAAGAACATGGCTAGATCTACTCACCTGGTGAAGCAGATCAAGAATATATATACGTTACAGGGTCGAAAATGTGTGCTTCACTGCGTTGCAAACTTTCCTTATAGCCATATTTAATTGATGCCGAATAAATTGCTTATGCAATAACAACACCCATTTCCAGCAGAGGCCAATGTCAACTTAACATTTTAGTGCCAACACCCTTCGCTTGCATATAAATGCTGGGTAAAAATAAGTTAAGTGACTTCGCATTGGCTGCCTACGCAATTTGCAATTTCTGCATTAAGTCAACAGGGCGGATGGGTAATTTCAATAGAGCCAGAGGAAAAAGTGGGAAAAGTGGAAGAAGCGAGGCATTTGCTGCGTTGCTGGCGTGACATTTGTTTGGTTTTAATTTCGGTTCAAAGCTTGCCATGGCTGCCAGACTCCCACTACCCCCTCCCCCCACCTTGCGGCCGATGAAGTATTCAGGGTGGACCAAAACACTTGCTGTCGTCGCAACTGGTGAATGCAAAATTGAAATATTGCATGAATTGCAGGAATGCACTAAGCCATGAAGTAACCACCGGGCCCAACTTGCCATCTCCCAGTGGAAATGGGTATGGCCAACACACGACGTCGTGCAACTATTTAATAAACATCAACGGGGGGTTGGAGAGTTCGCCCCCTGCCCTCCAAACTCATTTTGGTTGCTGTTGTAGGGGCTTTTGATGTCTCGCTCGGGTGCATTTAATAAGCTGCCGGTACGCCAGGGGAGGAGCATGAACAGGTCCTTTGACTCCAAGTCAATGAGGCTGCCATGGCGCTTTCTAGGAACAGGGGACACGGAACCAAAATCATCCAACTTCTAGCTGTGATATATACCCTATTATTAACAAATAAGTATATTTGAAAATATAAAAATAAGATCATTTGTGTGCATTGATTCAATGACTCATTTTGTCATCTTACCAGTTGTTAATTTTATTTGGTTATTAGAATAATAAAAGAAAGTGTGTTAATTTAATATTAATCTGGTGGCTCAATCAATTCATCCTCTTCAATTTTAAAGCCGGTTTCCTTAACACAACACACTTCATTTTCTGGACAACTTCCCACAGGTCTTACAATATAGCATTCATCTGCCTTTAGGCATGCGGCTATAAGCGAAGATCGGGTTTGATTAATATTGGTTTCCTCACAACCTGAAAATAAATGATTCATTTCATTCCTAAGCCTGAGAAAATTTATTTCAACTTACGCAGAGGCGTGTATACACGCTCCTGTAACAAGCAGGTTCTAAAAGTCATAAGTAAGAAAAATAAAACAACCTGGGCGATCATTGTGTGGCAACTAAAGAAAGATGGTTAATACTTTCAGAATTATACGATATTTAAATTAGCCAAGCGGTGAAAATTAAATTGGTTTTGTTCTAGTTGAATATGCCAAGTTATGTAAGGCTTTTGCTCCAAAATGTATATGCCCTTTCGATTTGTTGTGCAATCTATTGGATTCCTGCTCAGTTTGCTTTGTGTGGCAAGTGCGAATGGAATACAAAAGAAAAATGTTGTTTGCGAATGTTGGTAAGCAAAGACAGAACCCACTGCCAACTGCTGCCACCACCTTATCCCGGTCCTCGTGGATTTTCTGACTGCTCTGGCTGGCTGCCAGCTGCTTGTTTGGATGGGTGGGAATCCACAATAAACCAGGACCGACCAGGAACTGCGAGGAAGTGACTAAGGCATCTGGAGCAGCAGCAAAAACCCAAAACTATTTGCACTCAACAGCGGCAACAAATGTTGCTGCGGTGTTGCCTTGTGCTACTTACGGGTGCCATTTGATGGCGATGTCGATGTTTTTGCCCCAACATCCTCGCCAGGATTGCAAAGTATTCCTCTCCGAGCTGAGCAAATATGGAGGCGCCTGGTGATGTGTTTACAAGTTTGTGAATTGTTGTCATTGTCGTCATCTGGTCGGGCCTCGACCGACTGTCGCTCCCCTCAATCTTGGCCAGCACTCGGTCTTGGTCTCCGGCTCAGTCTCAGCCCGCTTTTCATTACCAATAGCAGAACCCTTCCCCTGGCCCCAATACAAACATCAATCAAGCTGCATTATGCAAATATTCGCTCGAAAGTTGCAACAAAAGCGCATCGAGCGGGCAGGAGTAAGAAACGACAAATGGGAAATGGGAAATAGGAAATGGGTATGGGTATGGCCTTTTGGGGGACCAGAGATTGGAGAGCAGCCTGTCAGACGTCAAAAAGCAGTTGCTATCCGTTTCACCACCTCGCATATCCCATCATCCATCGCTGCTGTCAGTTGCATTACTAAGACAACAAGAAACGAGGTTCATCAGTTACACTGAAAAAAATACTAACTGAAAGAAAAGTTTTAAGGATTGTATTTCATTCTCAGAACTTTTTTAAATGTTCAGAAAATATAAAAAATGTTTTAAAAACATACGATAAAAAATCGTGCAACTAATATGAAAAACATTTTTGTGGATCTTATTGTTCCAAAAAATAGATCTATAATTGGATGATATATTTTAATATACTCTTCCTGTAAAACACTTTTCGATGATACGATAAACATAATCTACTTTAATCTACTTTATTTATCGGTGAGAAAAGATAAAACATATATGTAACCTATCCTTTGTTTATACATTTCCAGAACATATTTGTTAAGCATTGAAAACTGGCTTTTCTTTCTAAACACATAAAAAACATGACTAAATTTTTAGAAAACTTATGAATTTTTATAAGCTTAAACCAAAACCAAACCAATTTATGTTGAGAAATGTCGAACATGAATTTATAAATTCTCTGAGTATACAAAAATTAAAGAAACTTGAGAAGGTACAGGAGAAAGCGAAGGCAAGACAGCTGCCAATAGTTTGACTCGGCGGGATTCGTTTCCAGGGATTCTTCTGCCCGCCGTTCGCCTGAATTAAACGATAACGAGTTTTGGCTTTCATCGCTTCATTTTGAAGCTAAAAGCAAGTGAAGGGTTGCTGCCTGCCAGCGCCAGAAAAGCTAAGAGCCAGGAGCGAAGAACTGAAGAGCTGAAGAAGCAAAGGGCCAAGAGCCGGCTTTTGTTTATGCGTAAAGTTTTGCGGCTTTGGAGGAGTAGAAGCGGGAACTCGAAATATATGGGAATTGCTTTCGGGGGCAGGACGAAATTAAAACGTCTGGAGCAATTTATGCCAACACTTTAAAGGGCAGCTCTGTAGGGGCTTTGCCCCCGTTGATCCCCACACATATATGCACTGTATTGAAGTGCCATACAGCGAATCCATATTCCCGAATTCCATTTCATTTCCCTTGCAAACTTTTTGCGGGAGTGGAGTTCCAACTTTTTCGCTGCTGACAATAAACAAAGGCAGGGCGAAAAAGGAAAACAGAAATCTTTCAGGACTTCGAAGCGGGGGCGTTTTTGGAGCAGAGGGCGTGGCAGATCTCAGCTTGGCTCTCGCCTGCAGTTTGTTTAGCTGGCAACACTTTGTCGGAAACTTTGCATAAACTTTGCGTTTGGCTTTATTTTTTTGGAAAAATCCTCGAGTAAAACTTTGCAAATTACTTTTACGATTTCCGAACAAAATGGAAAACATACAAGAGCAAAAATTGCCGTGTGCCATTAATTGCAAGCAATGTGCGATGCATTAAAAGTTAATGCCAAGTCTAAATTCGGAAAATATTCAGCTTAAATGCAAAGGCCGTGGAAAGTATCGATTTAATAGTTTCCACCCGAAAGTTTGCTAATGACGAAACCCTGTTTGAAATTAACATGCAACTTGGATGCCAAAACAACTTCACTTTACTCCGCCCCAGGGCCACGCCCACCTTTTGCATAATCCTTCAGCTGTTAAGTTGTTCTGCTGGGGAAATAAACAATTTAATTAGGCGGTGCGGTGCGGCCATGTGTCTGTGAGTGAAATCAAATATGCGTAAACATCGGCTACAAGATTGGGGCGTCGGCACCCCCGCCTGAAAACCCAATTTCCCACCCAAGAATACATATCTAAACACGACGCAGGCATGCGTAATTAAATTTACATGAATTTGATATTGAGCACACAGAGCACACACACACACGCAGTCACACATGGGCGAATTGCGCGGCCTGCAATTAGCATTGCCTACTTGCGAGCGCAAAAAGCAGGAAGCTCAAATTTCTATTGCCTGCTTTCGAGCGCTTGGCTTGGAATAGAATTCCAGCATTTGAATGCGCTACACACACCTACAGTTGAGGGCATCATAATAGGACTATTGATTTAAGACATTTATTTTTGCTTTAAAAGACATTATTTGTTGAAATTTGTTTGTACATTATATGAACACTTGAAGAAAAATATCATAACTCGGGGTGAGAAGGAAATCTTTTGGTTAAAATTCGTCTGGAATTTGTATGTATACTTTAACCTAATTTTAAAGATTTTGTTATATTGAACAACAATCTCTATTTTTGGCCACTATTTTGACCTCAGCTGTACTTCACATGTACGTTTGCAAGTGAGACAACGTACTGACAAAAATGAACTGTTGCGAAAGTTCATTGCGAGGGGAAAACTTTTGCCATTGTCTGATTCGCTGTTTCTCCCTCCTAATTGACTGTGACCCCGCCCCCCTTGTCGAGCCCAATGAATCTCTAATTTGGCGCATTTCAGAGTTCATAATAATTAAAATTACGCGCTGTCTGCAATGTTGTTTGTCCCCGCTGTTGTTGTCCTTGTTATATGTATTATTTATGGCTTGCGAAACTTTGTCCTTGCGACTTTTGCCTTTGACTTGATGCCAACTTTTTGGTTTTCGTTCGTGGCATTCATCAACTTTTTGCGTAAACGTCACCGAATCAGACAGGCAGACACACGGATAGCGAAAGAGCTATAAATAGAGATATAAGTCTCTGCTTTTGTCACATTCCGATTCACAAATCTGATTATGAAAAGCGTTTAATTTATGTGAATAATTGCACTCTTTGGTATATGTTGATTGAAAAAACTTATATGTAGCAGCGAGTTGTTGGAAATGCTGTTGGAAATTCTGTTTGACAAGCACACGACAACAAAAGCGGCATTTTGTTATTATTATACCCTTGCAGAGGGTATTATAAGTGTCAGTCAGGATCACCCCTGAGTTGATATAGCCATGTCCGTCCTCCGTCCGTCCGTCGTCCGTCTGTCCGTCTGTCCGTCTTCGTCTGTCCGTCTGTCTGTCCGTCTGTCTGTTTCTACGCGAACTAGTCTCTCAGTTTTAAAGATATCGAATTAAACTTTGCACACACCCTTCTTTCCTTTGCAGTATATAAGTCGGAACGGCCGGATCGGCCCAATCCTATAGCTGCCATATAACTGAACGATCGGAAATGCCATAACTTTGGTGTTTGTAAAGTTAGGAAGTTGGGATTTTCTATGGGTTTTGTATTTGGCTAATCAATCCGACATGCCGAATTTCATAAGGATCGGCCGACTATATCCTATAGCTTCCATATAACTGATTGATCGGAAATGCCATAACTTTGGTGTTTGTAAAGTTAGAATGTTGGGATTTTCTATGGGTTTTATATTTGGCTAATCAATCCGACATGCCGAATTTCATAAGGATCGGCCGACTATATCCTATAGCTGCCATATAACTGATTGATCGGAAATGCCATAACTTTGGTGTTTGTAAAGTTAGGATCGGCATTTTCTATGGGTTTTTTTTTTGGCCACCAAACCACCAAAATTTAATAAGGATCGGCCGACTATATCCTATAGCTGCCATATAACTGAACGATTGGAAATGTCATAACTTTGGTGTTTTTAAAGTTAGGAAGTTGGGATTTTTTATGAGTATTAAGAATGCATCATATGAATAATTTTGGAGAATATAATTTACAGAGTATTCTGCAAGGGTATATCAACTTCGGCTCCGCCCGAAGTTAGCTTTCCTTTCTTGTTTTTGTTATTATTCCAGCTCTTGACAATGTCAACAATTTTGCGCTTTTATCTGTTTGCACAGCAGACAAGCCCCCCTTCCCTCCCGTCTTCCCACCGATTCAGTGTGTGTTTAACATAAAGCGATTAATTGCTTTTCATTAAACGCTGCTCGTATTCCCCATCTCATTTGCCCACACTGCCTTTTGCAGCTGCGCTTATTTAACTTTTAATTTGAAGTCGCGTGGAGCAATTTTGAAATGTGTTTACCTTGGAAAAACGACTTGTGCGTGAAAGTTCAGAACACTCTTAAGCAGATCTCGAATTTAAGATGAAGTAAGAAATTAGAAAACCTAAGTCACATAGTAGCTTCATCTTATATGGATAAGTTCTTAAAATTGAAATATGCTTAAAATATTTTGACTTTTTTAATCAATAACTAGTTGGTATTAAAAAAAAACAACTGCTGTGACTTATTTTTTCAATATTAAATTGGTTATTTTGTATTTTACTATTTTCCAAGGTTTAGAAAGGGGTCTAAAAGGATATCAGTAGTAATTAGATATCTATAGTTTAGTTACAAATTACTTGTATTCTATTTAAATAAATGCTTTTCTATCATATGAGCCAACACAAATTTATCTTGGGAATTTTATTAAAGTAGACACTTTAGAAGTTTTCCCCTTCAAAATACTTTAGGTGTCAACACTCGCATTAATAATTTTCATAAATGTACCACATTTTGTGGAGCCCTTTGTAATTGGCCGTTATGCAGTCTGTGCCATGAAAAACATCATTCTGGGCCAGACAGGTGAGCAAACAGTCATTCATCTGGCAAATGTGCCGCCAAGGCAACGCCCAGTGTAGAGTTCAAAGGTGGCTGGAGGTCAAGGCCAGGCAAATTTGAGGCAATCCTCGGCTAGACGAGACAACAAACTGCTGGCCAAGTAATTGGCGTGGGCTTAACTGCAGGGCAATCAACCAGGCGAATATCCCTGGCCAATACCATTACCAATATAAGCGATATATCATCTTATTTCAGCTGTCTGCTTACCAATCGCCTTTTTATGGCCAAGCAGAAGCCCATCAAAAGCAATAGAAAACTTTACAACTTGCAGACTTCTTTTGGGTCAGAGACAAGAATTTTGAACTCGACTTGACTTCATTGATGGCCAGGCCAGTTCGGCCATGTTCGTGTATGTAAGTTGGTGTTTGCATACGATGTGGAACATTGGCCCTAAGCTCTATGGGACATTGGCCATCCAATGTAATGTGTGTGAGGGGAGTGGGAGGGGGAGGGGGAGGATCAACAGAACAGCATTGAAATCGAGCAAACTCTTGGTTTGAAGTTTCCCAAAAGCATTTCCTTGTCACCAACGAACTTTTCGCCCTCATTGTATGGGTTTTCGCCTGCATTCCGCCAAAAGGACCAGCCTTAGCCTTGGCCCCTCCAATAAGCCATGGCTAACAGAAGTCTGTTAGCGACCACGTGTTTTCCTGCAAGTTGGCGATTCTGCGCAGTGCCGACGTCACCTCTCAGCTGGCTGTTCCCAGTATTCGGCCACGGTGCGTATGATTGATAAACCAAAATAAATATTTGCCAGCCTCCGCGATGCATAAAGTGCCCCAAAACTCAGGGAGAGCTGTGAGGCATGGGATTCGGGGGCTTTTTTAGGCGTTGGTCGCACGTCGTCGAGGGGTTGTGACCTCCGGGGTGGAGGGGGGATATGGTGTTGTTGAGGGTTCCTCCAAACATCTGTGTTATGGCCACAAATATACACACATACACAGACTGACAGCAGTGACCTTGAGGAGGCTTTTGCATTGCCTGTAAAACAAGAGAGCGCGTGGCTCAGTGTGTTTGTGTGCGTCACGTGTAAGCAGTTTGGCTTATATATACAAACATACACACACATACATAAATATATATATATGTATATATGTAAATATATAAAGGTGTTTTTACTGTGGGTGAGCATTGGCCTCTGTGGCATTGTAAAAACTAATGGAAATTTAATTTCTGTTTGGGGTGGCATTAGCATTTTCAGCGTAGTTGCCCTGATTATTATGCTTATTATTTTGAGGGCTTTGTGGGCGCCCGAGTTCCTCAGACTCAGGTGTCGATTAAAACTGATTAACTGAACTACACCAGCTGTCGGACCAATTGTGGCTTTCTTCCATTTGCCGCACACAGCCACTTCCCCAAGCACTTTGCCAACTGCCAATGCATCGAATTACAATTTAATTGTCGAGGCAGCACCCACAGGATGTCTGCTGGATTTGCAACTGTCAAAGTGACAAACATGGGGCACCGCCTCCCCATCCAGCCATTCATCCACTTATTTATGCCTTTTGAGCATTTGTTGTGCACTCGGAGTTCTCCGGTTCAAGTCATGTGCAGGAGCAGCCCACACACATAAATTGCTTTTGACATGCTCCGTTGACTTTTATGAGCGAGGATTGTCTTTGGCCCTCCTCCTAATTAGAGCCATGTTCTGGGGAGTGAAACGAGGTGGGCATCAGTTTGGGCTCCTCCATTTAACAAGGAGCCATGTCTGTGGCAGACTCCAAACTGCAACCGCAAAAGGAAAACTTTGCGAAATAGAAATGTTGCAAAATATTTTGAAGCAGATTCCCCGCGCTCACCTCTCTCCTTTCTTCATTTTTCCATTTTCCCTCTTTCTGGCTGAAACAACTTTTTGTTTCGTTCAGGTTAAATGCGCGCGAATTGTTTTTTGGCCAGCAAAACTTTGTGATTTAACTTTTGAATAACCGCCAACAGGGGAATGGGAATTGGGAGAAAGCAGTGAGAGAGAGTGTGCCAAATATTTAAGTGAAATTCTTTTTCAGCTGACTCAGCAGACAAAGGATCCTTGCCAGTGTCCTGTCGACTAGTTTGTCATTTGCGAGCGCTCTTAACGACCAAATGCTAGTCAGCATCCAGGAGCTGTTGTCCCTGAAAATTGGGATACATTTAATGTGCTTAACCTTTTTATGCAAATTACTATTCATTTCCGGGTTGTCTCTCGTTCTCTCTCTCTCTCTCTTTTTAGTCACATTTGCGGCTAGAAGGGCAAACATGGATTCTGCTGCGGTCTTCACTTTTTGTCCAACTTCCTAATCAACCTGTTTGCTTAGGCCCTTGGACTTTTTCCAGGTCCTGGGTTAATGGCCAGGCGAATTTTTAATTAATGCGCACATGTGGCGTATACGTAATGCGGGCAAGATCAACCACAGAGCCAATTAAAAAATGTTTAAATTGTTTTTGTTCTAGTGGGACTTAAATATTTTCGTAGGGATATAGAACTTATCGAAAATTACGCTTTAAAAACACCCTCAAAGTTTAGTTATTTAGGTTTTGCTACATCTAGTGCTTCGTATACAAGTTTCTTGTTAGTTTTTTCTTTTTATCCAAGCTGGTTTTTAAGGGAAAGTTATAAAATATATAAATTGGAAAACGAAGAACCCGAGAGTATCCGGCTGGGAAAAGCTGAGGGGCAAAGGCGCCTTCTGGTTGACCGACAATTTATTACAATCCCGTCAAAACTCATTTGAATGGCCGCCGTCCCAGCCGCAGTTGCCGGCCATAAATCAGATGCTGCACTGCAGCTGATAATGCTGGAAGTCGGGGGAAAATAAGTTGGGAACTGGGCGAGAGAGTAACTCCACTGTGGGCAGGCAGCTCAATTGAATTGGCCGCTGACTTCTGGCCAAACCACACGCTCCAGAGGAGCAGGATGCGCTGCTCGCTTTTTGGTTACCACATTCTGGGTCAAAGGCAAATGGGTCAGTCGTGGAGGAGCCCACGATGGCTGTATAAATCACAGCGAAAGTTGCCGAAAATGAAAAGTGAAACTGGCTTAAATTTTATTTAAACTTACCCAGGGTTCAAAGTATAAAACTTACTCAACGAATTAATAACGCTCGGAAATTAAATTATTTCGAATTTTATTTTATATAAATTAAATACTTAAATTCATACATTAACCAGCAAATGGGATAAAATGTAAAAAGTTTAACTATTATAACAAACATATTAATGTTTGTAATTACTAGCTTGCACTTAATTTACCAAATGGTTGAAGTGGGTTCCAAGGTCAATTTATTTTCGAGATTGACGTTCTATTTGTTTTAATGTTTAATGCTTTATTTCCCCATCTTCAAGATTTTATGGAGTTGAATAGAACGATCTTTGTGCCCGCAGTTGGCCGTTGACTTTTCGTTTCGACTTTTTTATACCGCGTAAAAATTTAATTTAAATAAGAATTTAAAAAATAAATTAAGCATAGGAAGGTGAATTTATATATTATAGAAGTTCCCTCACTTTGTGCCCTTTTCTTAAACATATTTGTTCTCTTGTAGAAACGGAGAAATGCCATGCTAACATTCTATGCTAACATTAGATAATAACAAAACTAACACCCGCTACAAACTGCATGATTAATGGTTTTGCAGTTCAGAAGTAGTCTGCTAGTGGGCTGCAAGCTCAAGATCAAGATCACTTCTATGCCACGGCTGCAACATGACTTGGCTATATCCAACCCAGTGACTATATAAACTGGGCTTTGGCTGGGCTTAGAGCATCAGTTACTTCGAAGTCACTCCCAGTTACAGATATCCAGTTCATCATGCGCTTCGCTCTGCTCGCTGTCTTCCTCTTCGGAGTGATCTTTGCCATCGTGTCCGCTGGTGGAAACGGAGGAGGTGGTGGTGGCGGTCAAGGAGGCTGGCAGAAGGGCGGCGGAGGAGGAGGTGGTGGCCAGGGAGGCTGGCAGCAAGGTGGAGGCGGTGGCCAGAAGCATGGAGGCGGCGGAGGCGGAGGTGGCCAAGGAGGCTGGCAGAAGGGCGGCGGAGGCGGCGGTGGTGGCGGTGGCAAGCACGGCGGTGGAAATGGCGGTGGTGGCAAGCACGGAGGCGGCGGTGGAGGTGGAGGTGGTGGCAAGCACGGTGGCGGCTGGTAAATCCCCAACATCCTCGAACGAACCACTGAAAATACTCCAACGACTCCTCAATATCTGATGCAGAATTCCACGCAAAATACATAAGCAATGCTTATGTTGTAACTAAAACACTCGTCAAGTCTCTTTTCCATATTTAATTGTTTTAATCTAGCAATATCAATTCTTTCTTTGTTTAATTTAAATAAACAATTTCTCTTGCAAATCAAAAAAACGAATTTTTTACTGGGGATATTTATGTTAACACATCATTATTTTCAAAAAGGCCAGTAACTTAAAAAAAACAATTCAGACAACATTTTATCATTTTAAATTAGGCCCCTTTTTTGGTACTCAAAGTTTAGTTGTTATATATTATTTATTGGTTTGGTTACCGTAATTGTAATTCAACTATTCATATCAGATTCTAAAATGAAAAGAGAAAAGGCCTGTAAAAAAATTAAATTTTCAATACGTAACCCAACTATAATATCCTGCTGCAGATAAAAACCATTATCAAAACTTTTCTGACCACTCACGAGAACCTGTATAAAGCTGCACAAATTGACTTGTTTATGCGATAATTTCGTGAAGAAACTCTAACAATTCGATTATTTAGTGATTTCCAAGGATTTCTAAAGACTGCCAGGGGAAAAGCCGAGATAAAAAAGGGGGAAAACACTAAAAGAGGATGGCCCGGGCAGCTCACAGCTGTTTGAAGCTTCAGATGCCTCGGAAAATAAAACAAGATTTATTTAGTTGGCCCGGCATTAACTGTTGCCCTTTTGTTATGGGCAAGATGCCCCTTCCTTAACCGACAGGAACTCTTCTATAACGACTTTGTATGCATGTGTGTGTGGCAAAGGAGCCAGCACATAAAACTCAGATGGGTTTTCTTTTCATTAAAAGCGGATTTACGCACACACAAAGTGGAGCAAGGTGGAGAAGGACGAAGGACGAAGGAGCTAGCCGGGAAGTGAGAGCAGCTTATTGCACAATAAACACGAACCCAACCCCACCATCACACATGCACACAAATTATGAGGCCGGCCATGCGAAGAAAAGTCCCGTCGGTGTTCAGATGCTGAGTCAGCTCCAAGAAGTTTCCCTCTTCCAGCACTGCAAAAAATCATTTGAACTCCTCAGCAACAATGTGTATCATCATACATCAAAGTTTAAGGGTATGGTGGTAATAGTAAATTGCATTCTTTGTACAAAACATCAAAGTTTGGTGGTCCAGTGGAGCGAAGATGCAGAAATATGTATGTATTTATTTTTTTTTAACTTAGTGGTGAATTAACACATTTAAATATTTTTTTTCGTGTTAAGATATTTTATATTATATTATTTTCTGCTAGATCATTTTCCATTCTAGATCATACCATTCATATATTTCAATAATTAATTAAAATTTAAAGTTATTTTCTCTTGACCGCTAAACAAGCTTATAAGGTGTGGGTATGAACCTTGTAAATTAAAGTGTAAGACAATTAGTCAACGAAAAAGGTTCTATAAATTTGGATCAACTTTAATTAAATTTAAAAAACAAATCAAAGTGAAATAAAATAAATGTCTACAGCCTTGTTTCAATGTTTCACCTATTTAGTGGTAAAATTTTCAAAGTGTGAACTGTGTCTGAATAAGTGAGGGAAAAACGACATTATTGATAGCATAAATTTGTATGAAAATATTCAGATGAAATTGTTTACCATTTTTCTTTGTGTAAAAAAACGAAGGCGATAACGAATACTCAAAGGCAAAGGATATGTAATGTGGGGTGCCTTTGTGTGCGTGTGCCAGTCGTCAACTGGTCAATGTTGTCACAGACGAATGTCAACAAGAGATAAGCCATTCATTTTATTCATTCATTCAGGGACGACTCCCCCAGCTCTCCCCACCGCCCCCACTCCTCGACTTTGGCAGTTAACTATTCCGTAATTTGAGACTTGTTTGCTGTCACTCGAGACGAAAATAATCGACTTTGCCACGCCGTCTACTCGCTATCTTGGCATACATATCGCCATGCTCAAGGAATTTCGGGCGCGACTTGCCTCCGATTTCGTGGGCAGACAGAGCAAATAAAAACACGTATACGCAGCTTTGGCCAGCTTTGTGGTCCAAAGTATTGAATACCCTGAAGGATACGTCAATTATCGTGACCAATGGTTTACATAAGCTGTGTATATATGTACACGTATTTTTTATGTAAGATAAGCCCCATCGATTCGTGGTGTAAGCTGTCTGCAGCAGATAAAAGTTACCCCATGTTGATTTTAATGAATGGATAGGATTTGTATACGTTTCAGAAACCTTTTGATGCTGTTATGTAATTTATTGAAAATTATTTCGTCAAAAGAAATAGTTCGTTCCTCATATCACAATTTGGGTCCTTAAATATAATTGAATTTCGCCTTGGCTACCCTGAATTGCAAAACTATTTTCCAGGGCATAAGAAAAGAAGCGAAAGCACATTTGTGATATTTTTTGCACCATGGCTTGAATGATTATTTTTTGTGTGTCTGTTCGTGTGTCTGATGCGAGAAGAAACCCAGAGTCCTTTGCTAATTATGCCACAGAGTTTTGCTGTTGAATTTGCCCTGCTCTTGGAAATAAATGATAGGATGCTTGGTCAGCTCATTCACATCCTGGCCATGTTTGTTGACCATTTCTTGGGCTTTTGGCCATTTGCCCGAGACAAAACAAATGTTGCTGCATCCGGAGCAGGGTTGTCCTGCCGTTTGGCTGGCCGTCTGGCTGGCTCGGCCTTACACATGTACCCGAGCTCGTCCTGCGGCGACCGCCTCCAGTTTTTCTGTGTGCCACGCCAAATGCATTTTTCATCTGCTGACCAGGGCACCGGCTCTTGCTCTGGCACTGGGGGAAACAATTTAAAATATTATTTGCAAGCTGTAACACAAAGTTTGTAATAAAGGTTTCTACAATGATACCAGCTACTATTATTAATTTAAACCTCTGAGAGAAACAATTTAAAATATTATTTGCCAGTTGTAACACCAAGTATTAAATAAAAGTTTATAAACTGGTAAGAATTACATTTAAGTTATAAATAAAAAACTCAAGTAATTTTAAAGCCAAGAATATATTTTCCCAGGTTTTATAATTCACCTATGGATTTTTCAATAAAAATCTAACAATTACTAATAAGTTAAGCAATGCAAATGCTTAAATAAACTTCAATTTAAACATTATCCTTTGTGAAAATGTTTAATAAAAGATTAATATTACTATTCTTAATGTCAAAAATATATAATTATGAGTTTCTTATTATTCAACTTAATTAATCAATAGCTTGACTAAATTATTTAAAAATCCGCCTTGCAAAATAAAATGTTTCATTCCATTTTTATAGACATATCAAAAAGTAACTTCAAATCACAAAATACAAGATATAATTTTTTACCGGGGATACATACAAAAGTTAAAGAAGTAAGCAAACAATATTGAATCATGCTAATGTAACGCTATAAATGCCTCAAGGATTTAGGTCCTTTTTTATAAAGTCTTCAAGAAAATATATGAATTACTCAAGGGTCTTGTCAATTTTTGGTTAGCATTTTTTTGTGTGTCTTGATGAGTCTGGTGCTGATACTTCTGGTCGGTCGCCCGCCTCGTTAGCCACAGCAGCTGTTCGGGGGGCGGGGGAAATGGGTTCGGTTCGGGCCAAATGTTGCACGGTGAAAAATAACAGAGCACCGGATGTGTCGCCTCCCATCCCCGACAGCATTTGGTTTGAGTGCTGTTTGACTTGCGTATAAATGCAATTTACAGTTGCAGGCGACGCCTCATGAATTTTAAGGAGCTGGTAACTTGAACTGGCTGCCACGCCCACCCGGAATTACTTTTGTTACCCATGCCCCGCCCCCCTTTTGGTGTATGTGCTTGGATGTGTGTGCGATAAATGCGTTACTTAATTGTGTGAACTCATTTCTGATAGGTGGGCGTGGTGTGGCTTAAACGCAAATGCAAATGAAGAATGCCAAATGGAAATTGAAGAATAGAAGAAAATTTCGGGTAGCCACTGTCGCATATTGCGTATACGCCTACGAGCGGTGTATTTACGGTTTGCTGGCCCTTTATTTATTGCACATGTTTTTATTGAATTCTTCGGCAGACAGGCAGGGAGGACTGGCGGCGTTATAAATATTTATACCCGGACGTATAATATTGCCGGCATTGTCCGGTGGGCCAGGAACTCCCTATGCCCGATGGCCACAGCTTCCCGCTCCTTAACGGTTTTTAAATTGATTTCTCGCATCCATTGTGCAGAAGCCGCCACAAACAGACAGCCAGCTTCAGTTCCAGCCATATACCATATATATATATATATATATATATATTGCCATAGCTACTGCTTCCAATCCCGTGACCCTCGATGGCCAGGCATTTATCTTGCGACCCTTTTGGGACTTCGCAGCCCTTTTGCCTTGGCCAGAAATTGGCTTGTCCGCACTTAAATAATAATCAATTCTATTAAATTATTGAGTAAGCTGCTTTCGCTAATTGTGGGTGGCGAATGGGTGGCCTGCGCAGTTATTACAGCTTATTTGGCCAAACTTTTCTTATTTTCCCCTTAGCTGCCTCTTTGGACTGTCATCGTGGCTGGATAAACTTTATTGCCAACTTTATTTTCGCATTTCCTTTCAGGATTTGTCATTGGAGTCTCCGGTCCGCTTTTTTCTCTCTCGATATTTTGACTGTTATCTGGCGCATTACTGTGATTATTGTCGTTTCAAAAAGGATGTGGTAACAGGATACACTAACTACATGTGGCACATGGTTGCAGTCCCTTTCGATTCGCTTCTTACTCTGTTATTTCAACTGGTCTGAATTAAATTGCTTGTCACAGATAAATCAACAGAATGCGCATATATTATGCACTTTTTTATTTGAGATTTAATAAACGAGATGGCGAGATGGAAAATGCAATAAATAAATATTGCACTGCAGACAGTCTGACATCTCTTTAAAACGAAATATTTCTTTAAAAGCTTACAACGAGATTTCCTACATGATATATGCATATATTTAATAAGAGTTTTTTCGGTGGTCAGTCGAACATAAATATATTTTTATATGACACAGGCCATATTATACTTTGTTGCCTGTGATGAAGATAACATTTATTGGCAAACTCTTATTCCACTTTTAAGCTTTCGGCTTGCGTTTTGTCTTTTTGTCACTTTATTGGTGACAAATATTATAAAATACAGGAAA